TTTCAGTCTACTTCTCGGTATCAAGACAACTGTGGGAATACTCAAGAGTGTTTCCTTGCTGAAATGTGGTGCTGCATGCCTGGCTACAGGCAATCTGGATCATGTATGAAAAAATAACATTGGGGACATCTGACTTAGCTGCAGAGTAATTATTTTAAGAGGAAAAAGCAAAGCAGTTTAAAAAAAAAGAATATGCAGTTAGAGCTCACTGAGGGAGACACTAAAATATTGAAATGGTAGCCGATACCTTCAGGTAAAGAAAAAAGTGATTGAACTACTGTGTTTCTGCCATAAACATACACTGTGGTACACCAAATGTGAAAAGACTTCTGCAAGTGCTACCTGTTAGAGAACTGAATTGCTTGGTGACACCGTGCCAGTATCAGACCCTGCCAGTATCTGAGCTTCCACCTGTGCTATACATGAGGAGCAATATACTTCCCTGGATGCAGAGGCATATACGGAAAGGGTTTTGTTTCACCTGAGAAGAAAGTTACTTCCAGAGACACTTGGCACTGTACCTCACACAGGCAGCTGATTAACACTTCTTTACAAATGGATGTACTATTGTAGTTTCTGCTGATTCCGAGTATAGTGCATGATGTTTCTGCAGTGCACCCTTTCAATTGCCAGCTTGAAGCCTAAGTGCTTTGAAAGGTCAGATGATGAAAATTAAAACAAAACATAATGAAACCAAAAAGCAAGCAACAGTCTTGGTGTTTTGTTTTCAAAGTTTCATACAAAACCCATGCATAGTTGTTACATTTTTTTTAATATTTGCAAAACAACATAGTAGTATTAACTCTGTTCAAGTACTAAACAGTATTATAATGATTTGTCTTAACTTTCACACAGTGCTCGAAGTTCAACATTTAATCAAAGCTATTAATTTTCATCTGAAGAGTAACATTGTGAATGACCATTTGGCTAGCCATATGTAATTTGCTTTAATGGGAAATACAACAGAATCATAGAATTTAGAAGTTGGAGTGGACCTTACAGATCATCTAGTCCCAACCCCCTGACATGAGCAGGGACACCTCCCACCAGACCAGGTTGCTCAAGGCCTCATCCAGCCTGGCTTTGAACACTGCCAGGGTTGGGGCAGCCACTACTTCCCTGGGCAACCTGTGCCAGTGTCTCACCATTTGTCTTCATCCTCCCCTTTTTTAAAATCATGTTATAGTCCATTATTGCCTACTCTGAAATAAATACTTTGGGGAAAGCAATAACATTTATAAGTGTGTTGCATATTAAGATATGGCTTTAGGATTATTTCTTTTTCCTGCCAACATGGACAAACTAAAACTGGCATTGCCTATTAAAGGAAAAGCAGCCAGCTGTAGAGAACATGCAATTTGGTTGGTATTATAAGTAGCCCTGGGTCTAAATAATTGTATTGTATCTTAAATAGGATCTATCACTTCTGAAATAATGATGGAAATTCTTCGTGACAAAGAGAGTGGGATTAACATGGAAGGTGGATTTATGACCACTGGTAGCATGGTGTCTGTACTGCCTCAGCAGCCTCATCTGCCCTGTGTTCACTTCTTCACGGCAACTCCAGATCCTTCCAGGTGATGTAGCAGCAAGTAATTAAAATACAAAGTTGCAAATATCCAAATGAAAAAGTTTTGGAATTTGCCTAATTATACTCCTTTTTGCTTTGTTTTTTTTTCTTTTTTCTCCCCCTGAAAAAACACAATGAAAAGGTAGGAGTAACATAATGTACATGATGTACATTAATGCTATCACCAACCTACTTAGTGAAACACTTCTGTGACACTGACTGAAACATCAGTTAGATTTTTTTAAATGCTTCTTTCTTAAAAGAAGGAATTAGAAGAATGGGGAAAAATACAGCAATCTACTGACTCAACAATTTTAACAGAACTGTGTCAGTAATGGATCTCTGTTCTATTTTCTCCTTCTAGGTCTGTATTCAAGCCTTTCATTTTTGTGCCCAATATTACTCAGTTATTGAAAACCAGGTCCCCTACATTTGGGCATGATGATCCAGTTAAGAAGCAACCACGTTTTCAGAGTAAGCCAGATCGAAGACATGAGCTCTATAAAAAACATGAAAGTGCTGCTGTAGTTATGGAAACTACCAAGGTACGTTGATGAAATTAGATTTCAGTGCAAGCAGGTGGTTTATATAAGCTCCTTGCTCACATTTTGTTCGTGTGATACCATTGAATGCCCTTGGATGGATTGCCAAGAACAGTGTGGTGTCCCAGAAGCCCATTGTGTTGGCATCTGGCAGGCATGTTTCAAGCACTGAAAATTGCAGCTAGCACTGACCTGTACTCCCAGGTAAGTATCTGTGCTGCTCATCCTGCAAAACAGCCCACCACAGACTCCTGCACCAGTCAGATAATGGGAAAATGCTTGAGCAGCCACAGGCCAATATACAAGTCCTGGTAAGAGTACTTAAGGCTGTTCAGGCCCCTGGCTTCAGGTGGAAGGGAGAGCTTGCCTTTTACCCTAGCTTGGTACAGACAGGAAAGGAAACAAGGTGACAAAGACAGCTGGACACAAAGGTGAAGCAGGAAGGCAGTTGCATACTTTTAACAGTATCATCTCTCTTATTTACAGATACATGTTCTTAAAAGTAAGTCATATACCCACTTAAGTTTTGGTAACTTAAATATCTAAAGCAGCTTTAATTTTGTTTATTTTCAATCCATCAGACAAAGGTTGCAGGGAGAGGAACTGAGTGGTAGATATTAGGAAAGATATGTAAGAAAACCTCTCATGGTGCTGACTTCTACCAACACAAACAGGTACCCTAGAAACTTAGAAAATTAAAGCAAGGACAGTAGAACAGAGTTTTGTTAGGGTGATCACACTACATACCCTGTACAGTTTTTAGTGAAACAGATGTTTCTTTTTGCAGGGCAAAGGTAAAGAAATGCTCATAAAGATACAGGAGTTGGAGAAACAGAAGATAAGTCAAATGGAATCAATCCTACAGAACGGATGTCTTGACACTAACCAAGTGGTTAAGCTTTTTTCACAGTGTGTAGATGAAGAACTCAAAATATATAGCTAAGAAAACTATTTGAATGTGGTAATGTTCTGCATTATAATTAGGTTTTCTAATGAAGAGGCTATATAGACTACATCTTGTTTTCAATGTACCACTTAGTATGGACAGTTCTAAAGATGTAGCTTCATAGTCAGGACAAATAAATGGCTTTTGATTGTAGGAAGCAATGCTGAAAAGGCTCCTTAAGAGCAAGGCAGTTGCTTTGTACAGGGCACGAAACAGGCAGCAGAGATTGATTTTGTCAACAAACAGATGCAATTAGAAGGCAATAGCTTGACTAAATTGTGGAACAAACCCATCTCTGGATGAAGAGCGCTAACTCAGCTTTGGAGAACTCAGTTCTAGTGTGCACATGTGTAGCTTTTATAGTCAAGAGAATTGTAGCAGAATTTCAGATTACCTGAATTAAAATGGCCATGCTGAAGACTTTCTAAAATGTAGAAGCTTGATGAGCACTGAATAAAAAGGAAAGTGATATGCAAGTCAAGTAAGATTGATATTCAATTGTTTGATAAAACCATTGTAAGATACATTTAATATATGAACCTTCTACTCCTTCAATGTAAAATGAGGCTAAGACTTCAAGGTATACTAGAAATAAATCAGTTACAATTTTACCATGAGTGATTGTGAAATCTGATTACCTGGCATTCAGCAATGCAAGCATCCTGTAAGTTATCACACTTTTCAGTCCCCTGTCTACTTTCCCCACCCTGATACTGAAAAATAAACTTATTTACACACAATATGATTATTTTCAAATTCATTCTGCAGTTCACTTTGTAAGATCATGTGGGAGTTGTAAAATGTTCCTTGAACTGTTACTTTTTAAACTAGAAAGAGGTTGGGGTATACAGGTATATACATGTGCTCAGCAGGACATTTAAATGAACTTTGAGGTTTTTTTCACTTCATATAAAGCATTTAAACTGTGACTTGTTTTGACAAAATTACTAGACTATGGAGTTCATTTAATTATGTTTTTTGCCCTGCCAGGAACTCTTCTTTCCTGATCCTGTTAAAAGTAATGATCAATTTATGATACTACTTTTATTATCTATGGCAAAGAACAAACTGAGCAAACAAAGAGAGAAGATCCTGACTTTTCTGCATGATCAAATAGGATAAAAAGTATGGCTGTATGAGAAAAACAAACTATTCAAAACCCAACACTTCTGCAAACCTTCAGAAGAAAACATAGAACACAAAATGGAGCAATATGTGACATGACACAGCACCCCCAGACACAGCAGACCACATTAAGATCATTCTTTGATGATTTTTCTATAGTCAGTTTCTAGAATTACCTCATATGCTAAAGGTGGGGCTACACAGAATGCAGTTTTCTCATTTTGTAAATGCTTCTATCCCCTCACAGGTAAAAAAACCTAAGTCTAGGCAAACAGAAAAATAGGTAGTCAATGAAGTTTGCAGAAGGAGTAAGAAAACGGAGAGCTTGGCAGAATTTATTCTTTCTGATCTTTCAATGAAAGTAGAGATCAATTTGGAATGCTGTGTTCAGATCCACAGCAAGAAATTAATGGGTCAGGAAAAACTTGTGAACTTTCTAGTTCCAGTGGTCTGATGTGTAAGCTCAGCAAGCAGGACTGAGTATCAGGTAAGAATGAAAGAAAGTTTGACTTGACTGTGACCCTTTTGTGCCTGTGCTGACAAAAAAAAACCCTCTTAGAAATTCAACATCAGTGGATGTTTGTTAACTGGAAGACAGATTTAATTAAAGTATGCTATATTGGCCTGTTTTCCTTATGTATGTCCATATTTGACATCATGTGTCTCTTTGTCCTGTTTTTGACCATCAGCTGTTCCACACTAGCTCTTTAATAGCTTCAAAGCATCAGTAAATGTCAGGTAAAACTGCTGAAAACCAACATATGAGTCAAGTATACAGGCAGCATAGCAAAACAAGAGAAACAATTTTATGCTACAGTGCAAATATTGAAGTTAGACAGGAAGGACAGTACTGAGGTTGGTGGAGAAGCCTTGAAGTAAACTTCTTGGTCACTTAATCATGGGGTGGCAACTAACCAGGCTGAGCATATTGGTCTGATTGCAGTATGGGCAGGTACAGTCCAACTGTTCCTCTTGCTTATGTGCTGCTTTTTATTTACTGGTGTACAGGATACAAAGTAATGTATGGAGATTGTTCAAGTGATGGCCAACAGGGCACGGGATATTTTGTCCCTTTTTCTCCTTGGGATTTCATCCTCCTGGAATATGTGCAGTGTAAAAACAGAAAATGAAGATGGGATCAGGAGGAATAAATAATCCTCCCTCCCACAACCATGCAACCAAACCAAATCATTTAAAAACCAGAATGACCTCCAGAGGGCAATCTTGGCATGGATTTCACCCACGACAAAGGATTTCATTCATGCAGTGGATTTTACAAGGTCTAGAGCCTTGTGAAGGATCATTATTTTTTTAAAAAAAAAAAAAAAACCAACTAAAATTTCTACCTAGAAAAGTGTTCTATCCATCCCTGTCCATTAACTCAATTATTTTGAAATCAGTTCTAGGAAAAACGATCCAGTGTTTCACTGGACATTCCTCTGGACTTGTTCAGTAGATGTTTTCCTGGAACTTAACTTCCAAGTCAACTGACATACATCCCAAACTAATCCACCTTCAAAATCAAAGAACTCATTGCATCACTGACCACATCTTTAAAGCAAAGCTATTTCTACCCACCAGAAATCCACACATCAGTAGATCAACTATTGACATAACATCCAATTGTCAACTATCCTAAAACTTGCCAGTGCTCCCTGGTGGAAGCAAATATTTACCAGATAAAAGAGTTATTTAACCTTGTAAAGCTATTCTAAGTGTGTTCTTAGCTTTCTGAAGTACCCAGTGTTTCAGAAGCAGGTGGTTATATGCTGTATTTCATTCCTAGTTTCTTTAGTCTATTCATTAACCATCACACTCTGATTGGACTAATGGGTATGGCATCAGGAGCCACAATGTTGTAACAGTAAACTGAACAGAATTTGGTGTCAGTTGTTAATTAAAAGTATTCTCTTTATTAGATTTGTAACAGGGAGCCTTTTCTAAGCAGAAATTGTGAGCAACCTCTTACTTAAAACATATATTGTGTTCAAACCTAGGGAATAGCAGAGCCATTACAAATAGGCCCTAAGATCAAATTCTTGAACGTTGGAAGAATGCTTTTAAAAAAATTAAATCAAATTCATTGTATTTGATAAGTAGATGATAATGTGAAACATTCCTGGTACAGACATATCTTTGTGTGTACACCCATTAACAAGTCCTCTGCCTACTTAGAAAGCATCAAGGGTGGATTTAAGAAATGCCAGAATTGAAACCCAAGTGCCATGTTAACACATCTCTCAGAAAAATACATTGGTTGTAAACCTTGATATGCACACACCTCTCACACCTCACATCACAACACAGCTCAGAACTCAGAAATCGAGTAACAGGTTTATTGACAAGTGACAATAATTGAAGCCATACACATTTGTAGCTTCTGCTCTTAAGTTACATCTCTCTAATTATTCCAGAGTATTTGATGCAGCTTTATTCAGCTGCTGTAATGGAAAACACTATTGTTTTCCTTTGTGGCCACAGCCTGATACAAATATCAATTATTTTGTTGCTGGAAAACATTAAAATATTTCAGTTTGTATCACATACATATGCAGTAGGATGCAGTTGTGTTTCTGTGCACACTGCAGAAGTGCAATAACACTGACAGTAAAAGAAATTCTTTTTTCAATGGAAGTCTTGCATGGAGTTATAGCAACCATAAAACAACTGCTTCTTGAACAGTAACTTATGCTGCTAAAATTCTTAATACAAAGTAGATGCAAAAGTAGCGATAATAAAAACCTGTGTGCTAAAAGGAAAAAAACAAAAACAAAGGAAAAAAGAAGGGAAAGACTTGAAAAAAAGGATGAGCTATTCATATGCTTGAGCAAATCATTTTTGTTTCAATACTTGGGTTCCTTTCCCTCACTATATAAAATTTTTATATAGACACATAAATGCTGTTCTTGCAGTCTTACAGGGGCAGCATAATGGCTATGAGATACAACACTTTGTCTTTCACCTTTTCAAATACTGCAGAAGACGCAGGTTCTCAGATTCTGCCTTCAGTGCACAGGAATCTGAACGACACTAAAGTAACTATTTAAATATAGCAGGAGGATACCTGAGGTTGATTAAAAACCTGTGTTAGGCAACCAACTAGAATTTAGGATCTTAAACTACTCTAAACCCTAATTTGGATGTTCAGTTAGGATTCTTTAGACAATAGATTTAAAAGTTATTTTATTTAATTTAAAAAGCTTTACAATCCGAAAAAGAGCTTTGTCTTGACTTGCACATGTATGCAAGGCTTCCATAAAATCTTTATTTGAGGATGGCACTTCTGAATTAAACTGGAAAGGCTAATTTTAGAATGTAAAAATCTACTCTTGGCAAAGCTGTTACTATCACCCATAAGGCAAAACTTCAGAACAAATTGTTTATTCCATTATATCATCTCCTAATTTGGGAGAGTGCTGGGTATTTTTATGTTTTTAAGATTCAGTAGGTTTGTACAGAACCATTAATTAATCCACTCTATTTCCTCACTAAAGCTGCTGTTAAAATGCCTCTAAAACACAACAGTGACACATAAGATCTTGCTATTCGTTTTGCTCAAAATGGAAAAAAATGCTCTAAATCCAGAGCATCTTGTTTTATTTAGTTGCATTCTGGTTGGAATGCTCACTAAATACCACTTGCTACCACGTCCTTCAAAACAGACACAAGCAGAACCACATCTCTTAACTTTACGAGAGAGAAAACAGAGTTCTCTGAGAGCCCTGAGAAAGAAACACTTCCAGTTTCAGTGGGGAAGGCAGAGGAGGTGGTCACACTCGCCCCCTAACTACCTCTCCTTCGCCTGCATGCTTGGGTCAATGGCTCTCAGCTGCAACCGAGCTCTTAGGAATAAAGCGATAATACAAGTATTCATCCCGAAATTCAAATTCATTTGTAATGTGCTGGACGACACCTCCTTGCATCAGTCTGTCTCCATACATCACAGCTTCCCCACGGTCAGAGGCAAGACCAACTTGCATGAGCCAGTTCACCAGGTCACAGCCATAGAAGATGCCAGTGGAGATCTTTGCACCACACCTGTATGTCAAAGGAATGATTCACCCACATGTTCTGTAAATCTGGTATCACCACTGCACGATGGGGAAAGGCAAGGAAAAATAGCAGGAAACAAGGAAAGACATCATGATAGTTAAGAGCATGTTAGAAGAGAATTTGCAAGTTTTGTATATTAGGGA